GGAGCGAGACTGTCCGCCTTCACATGTGAAGCCATGGAAGCAGCAAATGCACAGCCAAGGTTGTAAACCTGACCTCTCCTATATCCACAAATCCGGCGCTAGCTTTTCCAAAATGCCAGTGCGTAATGTTGTATTCATGCCCGCGACGGATCGGTAAATGCTAGGTCTGGGAGCACCTGTATGAGAGCAATGTACGGGCTTTCGACAAGCTGAGAGCCGGGCCAAGCTACGCTTTTAGACAACGTCAATCCCAATGCTTCACGAGTACAACGGACAAAGATGGCGATGCCAGGCTCCAAATGTGGGTGCAGATATCTAAAGATTAGCTTGGAAAGGAGCCAGACCAGACCGGTTACCCAAAGAGTATTGTGACTTCGTATGGGAAGCACAACCATCCCCTTAATCCGCACAAAAAGTAGAACTGGTTGTCAGGCCTTGATAATACCGCAACACCATGGAGGCGACCATCCAGAGAAGACCCCAAGCTCATACATCAACACGACAGCCGTTAGAGGACAGATAGAGTGGTCAGTTGACGCTGGTACCCAAACTCGTCACCCTGCAACACCTTGGAGGCGACCATCCAAAGAAGACCACAAGCTCATACATCAACACGACAACTGTTAGAGGACGGATAGAGTAGTAGTTGACCCTAGTACCCAGACTCGTCATCCTAAAGGTGGATTTACAGCAGGCTGATTGGTCTAATCAGCTAGACAAGTCCTAGCACAACATGTTATGGGCCAAGGGTTGCTCGAGCACGTTCTGGGTGTCATCTGCTATAAGTGTCCTCGCAGCATGGACAGTTTATGCGTGAAAACACCGATGACTAGTGTGTTGTGCGCGCGTCATAGATGGGTAGAGGTAAGCATGGATCCACGTCAAGCTTGTCGATACTAATGATCGAGTAATAGAGCAGATCACCTAGATGAGCATATAACGAAACCTCGGGTAGTGTTGCTAGCAATACTTGTAATCTGGGACCTGCGGGTTATCGAGCATTGGGTCATTTCCCGAGAGTCCTGGAGTGTGGACACGACAAAAGCGTACGCTGCTGCGAGTATTGATTGTTCATTGAAGTTGTCCTTGCAGCCAATCATGGATAGTGCAGATGATTGTCAGAGGCATCCAATGTCATGAGACCCCCAGTTAAAGGAGCGAGACTGTCCGCCTTCACATGTGAAGCCATGGAAGTAGCAAATGCACAGCCAAGGTCGTAAACCTGACCTCCCCTATATCCACAATTTCCGGCGCTAGCTTCCAAAATGCCAGTGCATAACGTTGTATTCGTGCCCGCGACGGATGCATAAATGATAGGTCTGGGAGCACCTGTATGAGAGGAACGTACAAGGTTTCGACAAGCTGAGAGCCGGGCCAAGCTACACTTTTAGACAATGTCAATCCCCAATGCTTCACGAATGTACAACGGACAAAGACGGCGACGCCGGGTTCCAAATATGGGTGCAGATACCTGAAGACGAGAAGAGACTAGCTTGGAAAGGAGCCTCAAGGTAGTCGGTTACCCAAAGAGTATTATGCCTTCGCAAAGGAAACACAACCATCCCGTTACAACGTAGGACTGGTTGTCAAGCCTTGACAATACTGCGACACATTGAAGGCGACCATCCAGAGAAGACCATAAGCTTGTACATCAACACGACAACCGTAAGACAAGTCCTAGCACAACATGTTATGGGCCAAGGGTTGCTCGAACACGTTCTGGGTGTCATCTGCTATTAGTGTCCTCGCAGCATGGACAGTTTATGCGTGAAAACACCGATGACTAGTGTGTTGTGTGCGCGTCATAGATGGTAAACACGTCAAGCTTGTCGATACTAATGATCGAGTAATAGAGCATATCACCTAGATGAGCATATAACGAAGCCTCGGGTAGTGTTGCGAGCTAGCAATACTTGTAATCTGGGACCTGCGAGTTATCGAGCATTGGATCATTTCCTGAGAGTCCTGGAGTGTGGACACGACAAGAGCGTACGCTGCTGCGAGTATTGATTGTGCTGCATAACTAGTAGGGCGGTTGGATGAGCGCTAAACGGAGCGTTAGTTGTTGCTTGAAACGCGATGGAAAAGGTAAAGCAAGGAAGTTGAGGCAGGAGTTATAAGAGAAAAGTTGGGGTGGGATAGCACGAATATAAATACAGCGACAATGATGCTGAAAGGATGGAACAATGTAGGAACAGCACGAAAGGAGTAAACAGAGAAAAAGGAGAATAAAATACTCACGCGTCTATTGATCAAAACCAACCAAATATGTAAAAGCACCGAAGATTGGAGAATTACCGATTCCATTCTATCTGACTCATTCAAATGAAGCCAGAAGCCCTATTCCAGATTGTTAAGTATGCTGCAGCGAGGCTAGCTAAAGGGTCCAGTGATCCGTTTATAGAGCCTTGACCGCATGAGACGTAGCACCGCAACAACGAGAAGACAAGGGCAAACAGCTCGACCTTGACCTTGTTTTCAAGACGAGACATGATTATGACCTATAGCGGTACCGAATTATCCCTGAAGCAAATCAAGTCTGCCACGAGTATAACACGACTTGGGCCACGAGGAGATCATTAGTGCGTTGAAGTCGGTGATTCTGGACGTGAGCCGCATACAGATGGACGGATAATGCTGCGTTGTTACAGTTCGTAACAAGCTTGTATTTGAGAGAGTTGCCTGTTGGACTAATTTTCCTAGTCAAAGTATTGAGTCTTGGGGACTCTTTCTTCTGGTTTCGCCACCTGACAGCGCTTGGAGTGCAATGGAAGCATTAAAGGATGAACGCTGGTCAAGAGCGCGCGGTAAATGCCATTCTGTTCATCTTTGAGGTCAAAGAGTAGCTTGTCCTGCAGGGAATAGACTGTCAGCAACGTTCTGGATGGCCAGCAGGTCCACATTAGAATAGTTTGACGAAAGGAGGGCCTGGAAAAGAGAGAAGAGAGAACCAATGTGTGCAGAGTAGGTGTAACAACGATGCGAAAAAAAAAAGTGAGAATGAGGACGATGGGAATGAGGGAGAGACTTGTGGACTTGGTTCAATGGTCAAGATAAACCAACACTCACGTGTAAATAAACATCTTGCAATATCAGCCGAGCTGGTGCTAGTACATACGTACAGGCACCGAAATGGTAAATAGCTCAACAGCTTTCAATTCCAAAAAGTCCGAGTTAATGGAAAAGACCGATGACTTGCGCCAAACTCAGTCTTCCGTTATCAAAGCCAATTTGTCTGCGCAGTCTGTAGCAAACTTAGACTCCCAGAGTGATGCGAAAGTCCGACCAAGCGTAGCTACGTACCCCGCCTTTGAATTATCTGTTGTGCCAAAGATAGTAGGACCGCGACGTATAAAGGTGCAACGGATGCTAGCGTAGGCTTAGCTATTGGCCTTGGGACTCGTCAACCGACACTACATCGAAGGGGATGCAAAGGGTAAGAGAACACTGCAGTACTGCCTGCCCGACTACGCCACGATATGACATTGGCGGAGCAATGCATTTGGTGAGCGCAAGATGGGTGCCCACAGCTAGACCCTGGTCTAAGACTCCAAACCTGCATCCGAGGAAGACTCGTCAGCTTCAAAGTCTGATTCGAAGAAGACCAGGCTGCGATACTAGGAAAAAGTCGAAGAGGGTCGGAAAACCTGTTAAGGGAAGAGGCTGAGGAGCAAAAGCGGGTGTTTATGAAGAGCATAGAGCGAAGGTGACTTTAAAGGCCATTGTCCAGCGCATGAGAGTTAAAGAGGACTCAGGCGGAGTCATGGCTATGTGAGACCGTAGATAGTTCCACCGGTGAGTTGCTGTCTCCGAAATTCGTGCTCCCGGAATCATAGTATACTGGGTTGAGTGAGAACACATGTGGAGCCCTCATATCCTCTTTTTAGAGATCAGCATTTGCACTGTCAGTGGTAAAATTTGTCCATAAACTGCGGGAGATAGCATGGTGTAGCGAAGACCGGACGGTATGGCAGTTGAGGCGGAAGGAACATGCAAGATCAGTACTCGGTACTCGATAGTGACCGAGTCAAAAGACGATTTCGAAGAACCTGCTGTCGGCGTAATGTCATTAGGAGAGAGATGTGAAGGAGAAAAAACATCCCTAAAAATTTGACCATAGCCCCTACAATTTATATCCCGGCTTCACTATTTTCCGCCCCGCCACCTAGACCTGACAGCCATCCAACAGCCCCATGCTATGTCCATTCTGGTTCCCGTTCTACGTACTCTGCACGGGTTGGAAGATGTATGGAACAGGTCGGGGTACGGCCAGGACCGACTCCGAGGTTTCCCTAGGTCAGGCTAGACCGAATTCAGATGAGATACGAACGTCGACAAGTACATGCAGAATCCAAACTCCAAACTGGCCAGAAATACTTGGTGGAATAAAACAGATACAGCTGTATACGCCACGATTGTTCGCAGTTGTCTTGGTGTCAAAGCGTGGTGACGGCGCTAAATGTCTGTTTTTGGAGATTGTAAAAATCAATGCCAGCTCAGACGATGAATGGAGACATACCATTCCCAAATGACCAATGGACAGATAACAAAGAATTGTTTGAATACCCTTCCAGTACAAATGGTATATAAGACTGCTTGTCTACAGTAGACACAGTTTAAAGGAAGTGTCGGGTTGATGGATGTCGGGGACAGACTTACTAAGCCGCAGCGTTCCGGCGCCTCCATGCCACCGTTCCTACATGTAATGTTTATTGATCTGCCATCCCTCCCAGTAAGCCAATAGCTACAGTGACTGGCCATGGTCTCTTATAAAAATTCATGCATCGCGTTACTATGATACTTGATCAATTTCTCCAAAACTAGACCCAAGTACCACATGAGCCCTCCATGTACACAGGATTGAGATCCAAGCTCAGGGTAGGTATTAAGCTTGCTGTACCAATATTAGGGCACTGATATTTTCTCCCTTATAGCCTAGAATACTTTCACGTATCGAGTAGGAATCACCCATGACGAGAGGGGTAGGTTAGTACTTCCAAGGCCTAATGGTCTAGTAGTATGATTCTCGCTTTGGGAGTGTCTCCGCATGCGAGAGGTCCTGGGTTCAATTCCCAGTTAGGCCCTTTTTAGACATTTCCACCTTTTTGGAGACACTTCCTGATATACCCTATCACGCAGATCGCCTCTCCAGAAGCTGGAGAAGGCCGATGATCACTGAAAGAGATACGGTTTAGAGAAGTAACAAGTTGATCGCAAGCAGATGTCAGCAGTTGACTTTGGGGTGAGTAGTGTATCACAGACTGACTTAACGTTGCATTGACAAGGTTCTCCCAACATTGGTCCGAACTTGGCCCATGATTCTGAAGCGACTGATCATCATTATGCGCTCCAAGATCGAACGAGAGGTCGGATTCTTGAAGAAGCCTCTATCCCAATGGAAAAAGAGTGTCGAATACCCATTGGGCGGTGCGGAGATCCACAGGCACATGTACTTATGACTCCATGACGTACTTTTTTAACCTATGTACGTCCAGTCAGCTCAAGCTCACAAACGATGCTTGATATTCCCCAGTCGAACCGGGCTACTTACATGCTGAGGCACCAAAATTTTTTTGTTCTGGGGATATCATTATCTTCAGTCCAGTCGGAATATGCCATCCACGTCATGATATCGTTGAAGCAGGCACTCTGAGTATTTTGAATATCAATGCAATCAATGAATGATGTGCTTGCTGCGCTGATAAGCAAAAAGAGATGAATAGCTGTTTCTAGGCTGGGTTTATAGTTGATAATCAACCAAGTGCGCATTAAGTATTTTCATTGAGACTTGACCGCACTTGGAAACGAGTGCTGTCTAACAGTGGGAGTTGAAAGTTGGATCGTAGGTTGGATAGAATTAGGCTCGGAGGTAGATCTCAATGTGCTGAAGCGTTCAAGACTGATCCCATGTGGAATAGTAATGTTGAAGTGCTCATAAGTACGGGCGGATGTTGCCCGCATATATCTCCTCCGACCAGGTACAGTAAAATTAAGGTGATTATAGATAACTTGTCGGGGAATAAACATTGACTCGCATCAGCGTAGAAACGGTGATTGTTTGTTCTGGTAGCGGATAACAAACAACTCTTTCAAGATCCATACCACTACCATCACTTTTTGATCCTGATTATACTCGGAGATCCAGGACGTCCTTGTATGGATACTATAGATATATATGCACAAAATCCCTATCTATTTCATTTCCTGCCAACCACCTCCCCTTAAAGACGCAGTACTGCCTCAGGCTGGGGTAAGCATTGGTTCTGAAACTTTTACACGTCACTACCACTGCTGGCAATTGCTGCAGCATTGACTGCTTTTCCCAATTCAATCCGTATGTGTCTAGTTTTTCCCAGCATCAAAACCAGGTTTGATATAGTCCGTTATCAATTCCTGGCGGCAGCTCGACCGAGCATCATAGGTTTGGAATGTATACATAGTGACGCAGTCTCCAAAAAAGTCCCTTTCGACACCCTCAGATTCTCTTTTGTCTCATCACTTTCAGCTTGTCTTCAAGAGAAAGGAGCCTGCAAATTCCAGTTCGTCTTATATTCAAATTCTTCTAGTACCTTTCGCTCATTTGCCCAAATCTAGTCGAGATTGTAGCTCACCAAGTGTAGAGCAGCAACGATGGAAGCAACGGAACCAAAATTATCTGATTCTCCTTTAACCAACAGCACGCGTTTGAAAGGCAAATCTCCAAGTTTTTCAGCTAGTATAAAAGGCGCTTTATCCAAGCCACGCAAGGAATTCAGTCGACAACAAGACACCGCCGTTCATTCCAAATCTTCTAGTAATATTTCTAGTTCCTCTTCGCTGGCACGATCCTATACGGAGGAAACAATTCAGACTAGCCCTGATGAAATCAGTCCTGGTCGTACGTACTTTCTAAACGCATACACAGATCAGAAATACTCATCTCCATTTGAAGAACCCGCTCCACTGCGTCGAGCAGCTACTGGTAGCTCAGGAGCCTCCTCTCAAAATTCGAAGCACTTTTCCTCGGTGCGGATAGTAGGCAGAGGTGGTCAAGGCTCCCGTCCTCGCCCGGGCCAAACCAAAACAGCACTAGTCAACGACGACGATCGTGACTCGTGGGAGGCATCACGTTCCAGCGGTGCTAAAGACGTTGATGATCATTTTACGAACGCGCGTGTTACTACATCTATTTCCACTTCAACTTCAAAGGATCGTGTCCGTGTCGTGGGAAGGGGAGGCTATGGGTCAAAACATAGAACACCTTCCTTGCCATCACAGCCCGTGTCTATTGCCCCTCAAAATCGTCCTATCACCACCAACACTTCCCAAGTATCCTCTTCAGCCCAACAAAACAGATCCATTCGACTCGGAGCCAGGGGAGGCGCAGGCTCACGCCCAAGGTCTACATCACTAAGCGGTAATACCCCGGACACAGGGATGAAATCAATAGTCGCATTGAAAATTCGATTAAAAGCGCGGCGTAAATCGAAAAGTTCCAAAGACGATCCGGGCCCTCTTTCTCCCACTCCATTATCCCCTACATCTTCTCTTCCTCCAATCTCGACCAATCACCCATTCCATTCTACCCATACACACGATCCTAAATCGTTGACGCCAATCCATTCAGGCCCACCAACACCAACCCAAGCTTCGTCATCATCACACCCCACATCTCCATCATTCGTATATCATGATTCCAACACTCCTTCATCGTCTTCTAGCTCCCTGGCATCGAAGCACGACCGTGCTGGAGTACCTACCAAAGCAGAACGAGCCCTGGGTATCGTGACCTCAGGCACCCAAATAGATCAGAGTCTCCATCATCAATCTATCAGCCCTTGTCAGGACGTGTTAACTGACGCGGAGTTAATCCGATACTACCGACGCGCAAGTTTACCACTTTCGAACATTGGTTCTTGCATACGAGCAGACACTGTCGTCTTGGACGGCGATAGGGAACAAGAGTGCTGGATTGACAGCAGATTCGAGTCCGAGTCCGATAAAGATGGATCATCGACTCCGGTCTCGTCTATCATGTTTGCTGACCGCCCACCATCGCCGCAGCCCCCCAAACGTCGTAGAAGCGCATCAGCGTCCCTTGTAGACGCTGGTACAGGCTTGGTTTTGTTACGAGCTCCACCTCGACGTTTGCTTTCTACCGATGGCTACTCGGAGTATACGAGTAGTCTCAACGATACTGCTACTACCGATGACGAGAGTTCTTCGTTATTCACTCCTCAGCCTTCGCTAGATCTTACTCCAGATCTCACTCCGGATACACCTCACACGCAACCTTCACCGGTTTCACCTATGATATTCTCCGAGCGTCACTCGATGTTCTTGCCTACAACATCAAAAGAGAATCTTCATTTACTTGGGGATCCAAGCGCACTGGATCTTAACGCGACACTGCCTACTGTCGGTAAGCGGGGGAAACGCCCACAGATAGACGAGTCCAAGCGGACTCGTGCAGAGGCTATTCACGAACGGTATACCAGGCCAGATTCTCCTTTCGTGGAATATGGAGCGTCTGATACGCCCCACACTTCATACCACTACGAGAGGAGAAGGCCCCGAACTGCTACTGGGAGGGCTGAGGTCACCCAAGGATCATGGAGTGGGGAGTGGAATCGTAGCAACCTACAGGATGTTATCAGCTCTCTGCGCATGCTGAAATAGTTGGTTGTTGCAACGGAGTTTGAACTGTACTATTCGTGCATCGTCACTTGTTATTTGCCATTTGTATCATCACATTGCATTTTCACTCATTTGTCTATCTATCTTGCTTTTTGCTACTTATCACTCTCATTCTTCTTTTTTCATTCAGTTTGGTTATTTTGTCTGTATTCATAGAAGCCCTAGACACACCATGATAACCAGTTTGTATAGCATAGGGATTTATACACAGCGGGGTCAAAAGTTTGCAACTCTAAGCAAAAACAAATGTGTCTCATTGACAAGGTCCTGCCAGGAATCGAACCTGGGTCATGGGAAGAGTTCCATCAGAATCCCATGTGATAACCGCTACACTACAGGACCGCAACTCAGACGTGTTGACAACCATTACGACCTGAGCAACAGAAGAAAGCAATCTACCCCGGACATATCCAACAAAAAACCCAGCGAAATTGACGACGAGCACTCATGAGGATAGACGGAAGCAAGAGAGTAATCGATTAAAAAATCGCGTTATACCGAGGAGAATACACGATGCAATAGCCAGTAGTACACGTTCAGCTATAGGATAACTGCCTGGAGCAGCAATGGTCAGCGATAAAAGATAACATAGGAAGGGAACGCACCTGAAGACTACCTTCTATTCTTTTTTACTAGAGTGAAGCCATCTTCATCTACTTCCGGTTCATTTTTCTTTGGGCGTTCAATCAGCTGAGGTACCGGTTCGTCCTCGTCCTCCCCCTCCTCATCATCTCCAGACTCATCATCTCCATCATCTTCCCAATCCTCTTCGTCTCCTTCTGCCTGCGTCTCAACCATCGGCTTCTTATCCTTCAATTTATCCGCCAAATCCTCAAACTTTACCACCAACTCCTGCTTCCCAGACGACACTTCCTCCCATATCCTCACAATATCCACAGCAACGCTCTCAGCACTTCCGTCCTCTACAGAAACTTCATACTCGTCTTGCATAACCTGAAGCAAGAGTTCCTCGATATATTGATCATCCGGTGGAGGTGATTGTTCTTCGAAGGTGTCTACGATGACTCCGGCTAGCCATGTTCGTTTTTCAGCGGCGCCGGGACCGCCCCAGCTTTCTAAAACTGCGACTCGTAATGTTGACCAGATGGCGAGTCGGGCGATGACTCCTCGAGCGAATAATACGGAAGAGGGTCTGGGTGTGTCGACGTCCATTGCGAGTACACTGTACACAGTACAGATGGTGATATGGGTGCTGGTGCTAGAAAAATTTTGGGAGTCAGTCACGTTGTAGCTAATCACGAGGATCAGATGATTTGCATGCGTCGCGTCGCGTTTAGGGTAGTCTTTGAAGTTTGAGCAATAAAGTTTATTCAACATGATATCAGAAGAGCACAAAAGAGTACATTCAAATATTTATGCACAGAGAGGATCCTTGACATTAATAAGT